TCGTAAGCCGACATAGTGTATTTGCAACGGAAACATATGTCTTTCCATATAAAATTTGAATGTTATGGGAGAAAAAGGACCCCAAACTCGTGATAGTAGTTTATCATGTTTATCTAACTTTCGTTATTTAATTTTCAAATTGACTAACTCGAGTTAGATAAACATGATAAACTACCATCACTCGTTGGGGAACCTCTATGTCTTATACCTGTTTAGCACAACAATAAATTTACAACGATATCTTACAAAGAACTAAAATCTTACCAAATGAGATCGTAATGGCGACCACAATCTACTCCATATCTTATCAACCTGCTATCATCGAAGCCCTGTATTGTGAGTTTGTCCGTGTAAAGTCGATATTTATCACAAAAAAATGATATTCGGAGCAACCCATGAATAGCCTGCCAATTGCGACATTTACACACTTTAAGAGGGGCAACCAGGGAAGTAGCTACACCATAGAAACGTTTTTGAGATTGAAATCAAATATTGTTTTTGTCATGAAGTCAGTAAAGGTCCAAGTGAGTTGCTGATTCAGTAGCGTCATTGACTCCAAGTCGTTGAGACACGATCGCCTCTTCATAGTCATATGCTCTCTGCTATTGTTCGTGTCATTAGCTTTAGATTCGCGTTAGATATATTATTCCTGATCGAGTTTGCTATGCAATACAGTGTTAGTTTGACATTATATTACACTTTCCTATCAATTTTGTGATTATAAGAGCTACCTGGAACACGATGCAGTTGTGTGACCGCACAAAACATGACAATACCATGGGCACACCACCGTGTTCTCGCCTTATTTCTGTGTCTTCATTTTCGTAATATTGACATATATATGCCCTTCCCATTTTCCATTAACTGTATGGAGAGCCAGACTGCTGTTACATGGCAGTAACTACAGGCTGACCTGATGGCGTAACGATACGGTTGTTATTTCCAATTTAACAAACAAAATGGCCGCATTGATACCCCACTTCGTTAAACAGGCAATCGAACATTTCATTTATAAAAAAATACAGTTATATTTAAACTACAATACAGAGAAAAAAATATTTATAAGATTAGTTACATATTTTCTTTTTTATTAAAATAAACAAACAAATAAAATAAAATAATTAAATATTGAAAAATGATGCATCACACATCTGTCATCTGCTGTCGTCTGCTAGAAACGTCATGGCTTCCAGCGACTCTGAGGGCGATTTGTTCGAAACAATTGTAGATCTAGGCCTATCGGAAACGAATTTTCACATTGAACTACCCACAGGAATGCTTAATAACAGCATTTCATCCAGTGACGAAGAATTGTTACTGAATATAAACATGGAGACCATCCAGGCTATATCGGCGAGTTCAGTGCCAAACGAAATTCCAGACCTTACGGGGGCCGTTTTTGAAGAGCTGCCCCCCACCAAACTCCCTTCTCCCCTTCAAGCCCCTGGAGAAAGAAATCCAAAAACCTGCGACCGCTACTGAGACTACTGGACCACCAGCAAAGCGATTTAAAGTATACACGGAGAATGAGATAGAAACGCTGTTTCAATCTCGGCAAGCGCCATCAACAAAAAGGAACACTAGCTGGGCCTTGCGAATATTTCAAGGTAGGCCTACATGAGTTGAAGTTTAATATTAAAACTGTCTTTTGATGATTTATTCACACCACGTAAACTTGGTAAAACAACTTTTAAAAGAACACAAAGCTGTTAGACCTATTGAAACAAAGTGTTGTTTTTTATAATCACAAACAATCACATCATTTCAATGTTACATAATGGAAAGATTCTTTTGACAACAAGGACTGGCAGTGTAGTCTACGTCTTTTTTGTATATACTATAATAGGCCTATCCCACTTTTTAATTTTAGATTGGAACACAGAAATATATGGGCAGGCCATGAGTATGGAGAAGGTTTCCCACTTAGAATTGGCAGCAGCCCTGAGCAAATTTTACGTTGAGGCGAGGCCAAAGTCGGCGGAAGAATTGTACCATAGGAGCACCCTCATAAATATTAGGGCAGGAATAAACAGACATCTAGCGGATCTTCAAAGAAATGTTGACATTGTTTAAGATAGAGAATTCAAAAAAGCTAATGGTGTTTTAGACGGGCTATTAAAAGAAAGGACACGCACGGGACAATCAGAACCTGTTCAACCCAAACAAATTATAGAACGAGATGATTTGGAAAAAATAAGCACTTACCTGTCAAGCGCTTCATCCTGTCCTATTATCCTCCGTCACTATGTCTGGTACAATTTATCGATGCATTTCGTGACGCGAGGTATGGGATTCCATCACCAGTTACGCACTAATTCCTAACGGACGTCATTCTATTTATCTGTCACCCAGATTGCATTCATATAGGCTGTAACTACAATCTGACGACGTTCACTCGTTAATTGTGTGTCAGACAAGGCTATACTATCAATGAGAGTAAAAAAATGAGAAATTGGTATGAAGTGAACATAAGAGAAATGCTTCATATTATATTATGCGATAGCCTATGGTTATATGTATCTGATATACATAAAGTACAGTTGAGATCCAATAAGACATAAGAATGTCGTTCTTTGAGTACATATTTCAGATTAATTTTATTTCATATAGTACAATAAATTTGTAAAGATATTCCTGTCTTTTATTGTTGTTATATGTTGATGTGACATTGAAGAGAGGAAGAAAACGTTGATTATCAGGAAACTTTGAGTGGAATATGCTTGCACGGTATTTGTATATTGTTACATTGAATTTAAATGTATAATAAAACAGATAAGACAACTTTGATATCACAGTGTTATTGGTATTGAATCTTTATTTTTATAAAAAAAATCTGTTCAGAGCAACAATTCTAACTATTTCGAATTTGAGAATTGTATTCATTTGCAAAATGTTATTTAAAGAAAAAACACCTCTCATTCAGATCAAAATTATAAAATGAAATAAATATAATATAAAAAAATGTACACTTATTTATTCCAATGTTTAACGATTAACTGTGTTTGTCTTAATGATGTTGCATTTAGATAATCACATGATTTGTCCAGATAAAAAATTGACGGACACACGTTTGATTTTTTTTTTCTTTCACAATTAACTCCCGATTTCTCGGAATTTCACTTTATCACCTCCAACTTTATGAGAACCATTTATGACTATAATTTGATAAGTTTATTGAACTCTGCTGGTTAAGTACGAAATGTTGAAGCCTCATTAGAAAGAGTAGAACGTAATGATTAAAAAGGAAAAGTTAAATACCTAAAAATGAAATTTGAAACTCCTGAAAAAATAAAAGAAACGTTACATTTGATTATGCAAAAATGTTATCTAGATGATGGAAACTAGATGTTTTAGCACTTATAAAGCACAGAAAAACAAAATCTTTCAAGGCGAGAAAGAACATTAACTGTCATGACAAAAGAAGGGATCCAGTTATGGTCTTCTAGTGGCCATCTCCGATACGTTCTATTTTTTGTAATTTATCTACAGTTGGTAAGGCCATCATGATATGCCATTACAATAATGTCAGCTTGGAGATCATTCCGAGATTTGAGGGGGTAAAGAAGGGGACTAAAATCCAAATTGGCAATTTTTGACAAAAAATACAAGTTCTCATAATTTTGAAGTGATGTGCAACTCTATAACTGCATGTAATGAAAGTGATTGAAAAACACTAGCACATACTTGATACATGTAAGTAGGTCAGAGTCACCTTGCTATATATCGGCTTAATCGATGTGTGTGCCTAACCATCAGAACCATACAATTTTTCTTACCAAATTATAATGGAAAAGTATCTCACCTGATCTGGAAGAAAATGCGTTTTGGCAAAAAAAACCACGCCAAACAACAATTGCAATTTTGGGACAAACATCTGACCAGATTCAGACATATTAGTTCACATTAAAAACAATTGCATCTGAATATTTCCTTTTCGATATATTACAAGTGCGTGTACCGTGTTACCTGACTGTAATAAAGGTGTGTGATCGCACTACGATGGACGAACGATGTGTACACGGTGTGCGAACAATAAACATCTGGACGATTATTGCTTGCGTACATTTGTTCGGACGATGGACGAACGTTATGCGTTGCGTGCATTTGTTAGGACGATGGACGAACGTTGTGCGTTGCGTACATTTGTTCGGACGATGGACGAACGTTGTGCGTTGCGTACATTTGTTCGGACGATGGACGAACGTTGTGCGATAACAATTGTGGTTGGTGTAAATTGAGGAATGGCTAAACAATATAAACGGTTTTGTGTTTAAACATATAAACCTGATTTTTAAGTACATAAATTGTATGTTTCTATATTCTAGCTGCATCGTTAAGCTTATCTTTCTATCTATATTGTCTTAAACTTATGGTGTTTTCGGTGTATTGAAACCACCCAAATCGACACAAGTACAATTAAAACAAATATAGACACGGTCCAATGTACCTGGACC